AGTGAGAGAGTATTTATCATCATCCATTATTCGTTATTGTTTCCATAGGCATTATTTACCAGTTTGAGAACTTCACCGACTCAAAGATCATAGAGTCTAATTTTATATTATTATTATTATTACTATAATTTTTAATAATCAATAAGTGGATTATATGATGTTTGTAAATAATAAAGAATCTGTTTTATCTACATATACAATCCTTTTGAAGTGGCTACAGTATTTACTGTAAAACTTACAGTAAGATCGATAATCTTCATCAGTTCTATCATTTGATTGACAAAGACACAGAGGGAAAGAGTAGAAATTGGAAGTGTACAAATTAATACTAAACAATTAAGCAATGAATGAAATGTGGTATCAAAATGAAAAAAGACATGTGACACCATCAGTATCAGGTTTCAGTGTTAATACTCTTGCATGACCACTCACAACAATTAATGTATTTATATTTACTATGTTCCTACAAATAATTCTAAGAAAACTGAAAAGGGCAATAAAAATGCAAGCAACTCAAGGAATAATATCAAAAAATAGAGTTTTAACAAAAATACATATTAGGTACATGCAGTTACTAGTTACTAGTCAGCAAACAAGGGGAGAAAGACATGCATTTTAACAAGTGGACAGCAGCAAACTCAGCAATGTTACTGTTAAACTTTTGAGTAATTAGTTGCAGTATTTCTTTTATTCAGGATATTATGTCTCTCTGTGGACCTTCCTTCAACAGGGGCTGGAGAGCTGCAGCATCGTTTACAGCAGCAAATACACAATGTCGCAAATATAACTAATATTATAAATCCAACCAGACAACCAGACACAATGCCAGCAATAGCTCCAACACTTAAACCATGAGCAACTAGAAAAAACAAAACTAGCTACTTCAATTTTATTTTCAATCTTACATTTACAAGCATCTTTGATACCACCTGGATCAAATCTAATACCATGTGCTAATAAAATGAATAAAAATACATTAATGAGTGTTTTTTACAATAAGGAACTTACAACAAGTTACATTGAGAGCAGTACTGCATGAGAAAGTACTGGAAGGACATTTACCTCCAGAACATTTAGACAAACAACTTGGCACATCTTTATCAGGATCATCAGTGCTGCAATCCACATTATTTAACCATGCTTTGCCGGTACTAGGTATTACAATAAAAATAAAACTATTATAAAGCTATTATCAACATACTAGCTCGTTGTACCAACATCAAAAACATTATAACCAAGTTGAGTGCATACAGTCCATCCAGTGTCATCATTAAAGTCACCATCATTACAGACTGCAGCCCATTCGTTGTTACAATATACTTGTACTATTCCTTGACCAGTGTAATTCCCACCTTGAAGTCTAACCATTCCAGGGTATGGATTATCCCATATTCTTGTAGCATCTAAACAAAATTGCAATCATAATTATGGGTTAACTCATTCATCAGTCATGCATGTGATTTTTAAGGCTTCATTTACTCCAAATAGTTGTATGCTGTGGTTAGCATACAACTGTTGTAGCATGTTACTATAGATATTATAGACTACATAACGTAGTCTATAATATCTATGATGTTGCTTTGGCTGAACGCATCCCAGCATGATTGCCAGCCTTAAATAAACATGTAGGTATATCAGTGGATAGCACACTTTCAATATGACTGAATATCGAGTGAGTATTCTGCTATTGTATATAATTGTGTAAACTGTAAATGCTCAGGCATTAACAAGTAACAGTTAGCTAGACTTACAGCAAGTGATATCAAGATTATCAGCATAAGTGCAGTATGAAGGAATGTCAATGTAGCAATCACACTGCATTATAGTAAGATATGAGTCTTCACAACCTACCAAACTAAAAACTGGACTGGTATTGACAACACCTGAACTATATAGATTGGAAAAATTATCACAGACAGTGTGCAAGTGAACTCTGGAAATTACTAATGCTCGGACTTACTTGCTGCCACTGTTTCCACCAGTGTATCCTAATTGATGGCACACTACATCAGGTACATACGCATAAAATATTGATGATTCAGACGTGTAACAAATAGAACCCCATCTGTTATTGTAATACACTTCAATGACTCCTTCAGTGTTGGATGGATCTACAATTCCATTAAAATTAAGACGGACAACTCCGTTCGCTTGACCTACATAAGTATGAAACTGGAATGTATCAATATACTAGAGCTAACCATTAACAACTTCAATGCTCAAGAGAAGAGCTACAAACAGCAGAAAGCAATTCATCTTCTTCACAGCCATAGATACGGAGTGATTAAATTATATTTGCGCTGAGACGTGGGCGCGGCGGCACCCCTACTCATCATGTTATTGAATGAATTTAAAAATAATTGTTTTGAATAAAAAATTGAGTCTATGACAATAAAAATGATGATGATATTGAATTTAAAAATAAAATATTATACACAATGGCAATAATAAGTTCTAGCAGACAGAGAAGTCCCAAAGCTTCACACTTTTGTCATAAGAACCAGACACAATCACCTTAAAAAAAAAGAAAGAATAAAGTACATTATATGTAACATTGCAAATTCACTATTGCCAAGGGTATATAACAAATGCTAAAATAATGCTATTATGTAAAAATAAAAAAAACATTCTTAACTTACTTGATCATTAAATTGAAGACAAGTGACACCGTCAGTGTGAGATTTGAGTGTTAATAATCTCTCGCCTGATTGAACGCTCCAAACCTAACGGGAGGAGTCAAATATCACACACGTATGTCACATGATTCTCCAGTTACTTTAAGAGTCTTATCATCAGCTGCACTGATAATCTTCCAGCTGTCAGCTTGCAAGTGTCTTTAAGAATATGATACATGTCCATAAAAATACCCTCTTTTTCCTCCCCCCCCCCTCTCTCTCTCTTTGTTACCTAACTACTCCAGTGTGTCCTTCAGATTTGATCCAATCCATTGTGTGGAGACACTAAAATGTACACATACATAATCAATCATAAAGCAATGAATTTTCTGTAAAATAGCATTTTAATACATGTACATGTATATAGTATATAAATCTCATGCAAGAGAGTACATGTACATGTTGATATTAATGTATCCCAATCCTCTTACATGTCCAGTGAAGTCCCATATCTTGATGAGTCGGTCCAGGGCACCGCTAACAATACGACTGTCATCAAACTGGAGACAAGTTACTGCCCCCTCATGACCATATAAGGAAAGCCGACACTGGCCATCGTATAACCTCCACAACTAAAGAGGAAGAAATATCGGTAAAAAATATGAGAGAAAAAGAAGAGAAAGAGAGAAGTATTTACATGTACATGCATTAAGAACTTGCTGTCATTATTATCATTACCTTGATTGTGGTATCTTTGGAGCCAGAAATAACTTTCGTTTTATCAAACTGCAGACAGAGGACGGCATCAGTGTGTCCCCTAGCATCAACAAAAACAAGTAAAAAGCAGGACAACTCATGTACATGTATTATGATTGAATACATGTACATCCTGATTCAATACACACACGTATAATATCTCGTAAATATACATGTAAATGTACTGTACATGTGCATTGAAAACATTCATGTACATGGTAGATAATAGACTATGTATAGTTGATTGCTCTATATGGATTGGAACAGTCAACTATATTATACAGTGAAGTGTGTACAATGAATGGTGTTGTACCTAAGAGTCATGTTACATTGTCCTGTCTTAAGGTCCCAGACTTTGAGAGTGTGATCATAAGAACCACTGACAACTTTATCATCATCAGCCTGGAGGAAGAGAAGTAGAGAGAGAGAGGGGGGGAAGAGAGTTAAAGAAGCAAGTAAAACTTGTACATATGTGTACATGTACACGAAGTACATGTAAATGTGCATTTTAGCTTTTAGTGTCTCTATTCTCTGTTGATTCATGCATGGCATAGATGTACATGTACACAATAGTATTTACTTTACCTGTAAGCATCTGACAGTGTGTAAATGGCCAACCATCGTAGCTCTACAGGCAGCACCGATCCATCCGACATTGTTAGTAGCCAAGTCCCACACCTTCACAAATAATAACAGACTTAATCAAAAATGTGTAATTATTAGTTTTTAAAATGATGTATTTC